GGGAAAACTGCATGAAGTGACCTTTGCCCTTGGGAATCCAAACTCTGGTTCCCAGAGCATCGTTATGTCGTGATTGTGGGGATTTCGGAGACGATTTGGGAGTCCTCTCCACCGTCATATTGGCGTGAGAACGTGATCGTGAGGATTTTTCGGGACTTATTCGAAGCGGACTTGCCCGAGGAGGTTGAGGGAAAGGATCGTTTGCCTAAAGGTCGTATTTTTTTTTCATTTAGTTCCTTAGCCGTAATATTTCACGAAGAAGGAGAAAGAAATTGTGCAAAAGAAACGAAGTGGGATTGCAGAATTGCAGGAGTTTCTTCAGCGCATTAGACGCAATCCAGATTCATATCATTTTTAGTCTATACTTTTTACAATGAAAATGTGGAAATTCAATGAATTTCATACAGCGGACCGCAACATTCCTCATCGCAGCAAAACACTTCATATCCTTATTAGCACTCTTCCGTGATGAGTCCGACGGTCCATTCGAGCTTCATGAGGCTCACATTCCGTGCCCTTCCTCCTAATTGACAAATGACCGACACGAGCGCAAAATAATGCGGAGAGGACGAAACGGACGAACATAGCCCGCAGCGAGAGAGCCGAGTCCAATAGGGAATCCTCTCTCTCCTCGGGTTCTCGGTGCGCAGTGCCAAAGTGCCATTTGCGGACGCGTATTCCCCATAATCACCAATAGTGGCTGCCTCGACTTCATCAATCTCCGGGGGATATTTCTCAGGCTTCATAAAAGGTACCTTCTTTTTATACATGTAACTCGCAAGGCTCTCGCCTTCGGGGCTCCGCGATGCAAGCAAATTTGATGGAAGTTCCTGTTTCATAAATTTCTGTCTTGAGTCTTCCCTGCTTTCAAATGATAAAAAAACTTCAGATATTTTCTGAATTCTTCAGAGGGACGTCGCTTTACTTTCGGTTGCATGACGTCAGAAGAAAAATAATATCTGTTCATGCATTCCGAACGCCTCCGATTTCATTTCTTACATTTTCCTGGGCAATCTCAAAGGATTGAAAAATGCTTCGAGAAGTCGCATGACCCCCGAAAGTGTGTCTCACGATTGGACTTATTCCCAAATTATTTTTACCATTCGCCTAGAAATGCATTAGACCACCTTCCCAGGTATTTCACATCGAAACAAAAGCATGAGATTTCGCCCAATGGGCTTACAAAATTTTCTTTTAAATCATACTCCCAATGGAAAATTCGGAACTGGCTTCAAATTCTATTTCGGGTGATTAGGGAAACTGTTTGCTTCTCCACATAAATCATATTTTGGAACTTGCACAACATATGGTACATTTTCTATGTATTGTATTCGTTGGATGGAATGGCGAACTGGTAGTTGATGAGCTGTTCCTTGCGGCCGTACGACCCTTTTCGGCAGCCGTTTTGCTCCGACATCATTTTCTTGACGTGTTGCTCGATCTGTGCTGCGATGATGCACGTTGTAAGTGATTGGCAGGCCTGTAGTTGAAAGTAGGAAATTCCAAGGTAATAACTAAGTATATGAACTGAGAGAGATAACCCCCATGGAAACGACCGACAATATGTTTTGTGAGTTTTAATTTAGAGATCGGATGAGAAAATTGGATTTCTTCGTTTTTAATCATCAACATTTCGCATTTTTAACTCGTTCAGATTCATGCAAGGGTCATCCCAAAAGCTCGAGAACGTTTTAAGCACCGAAACACAAAATGCAGCATTATTCCAATGGAACTTTCTCGATATTCTTCCCTCGCAGCTTCACACTCTTCTGCAACGTTGTATTACCATCTCGAGCCGTTCAGCAAACCAGTTTGCTGGGATCACTAGAACCCACTGGTTCGCAGCATGCTCCAAGCATGCTCCAAGCGCGCGCCAAGGTCGACCCCAGACCTTGGCGAATCATCCATTGTATCCCATTCTGCTTCAAAGCGATGCACGCACGTCTTTATGGCACCTTTGCCAAAAGTTCTGTCCCCGTAAATGTATTGCAGCTCACGACCAATATGGACCTTTGACAAATTCTCCAACCAAATTCCATCTCGTAGATCATATGCCTCCATAGTGGTAAAATATAATAAGTCTAAAAGTGCGAGATCTTTGCAATGGGAAGGAACAATTACACCAACGTTCCTAGGTTAGCACCATGGGACATTAATATGAACACTATGATCAGACCGTTGCTGCTGATGACATTCAAATAAAACATGAAAAACATTAATATTTTTTCTCGAACTTTTGGGATGACCTACGTAATATATGTAAACCCTGAGCATTAACCTCCCTTATCTTCATGCTTGACGTTAATACTATCCTCTAAAAAAAATTGACCTTCATAAATGTGATGGATATTCCATTATTAAATATCAAGTGAGGAAACTCAAGATAAAAGTCATAATAAAACGTGAAATTTCCCTGAAAAAAAATGCAAGACCTCATCGAATTCACAACCGCGACTCGCGGTGAGATTGACGTCGGTCCCAGGCCAAGAGGATCTGCACGACCTCAAGGGGAACCTTCTCGCTGGCCAGATGCAGCAGAGACTCACGTTGCAAAAGCTTATTAAAAGCAAGGTTGAGTCTGACCATTGCCTTGGGCCGCACTCGCCGCGAGAACAGCCAGCAGAGAGGAAACACGCCGTTCCCCCGTCGCAGGAGAATGCAAACCGGTTTGGTTAAGGGTTTCATAATGCCTAAGGGTTTCGATCAATGTCGCTTTCCCGTTCATCATGTCACCATGCGCATCATGTCAGCGATCCTGTATGGGACACAATAATGAATTTGGAATAAGGCATTTGGAATCAAGTTCTGGCCAAATTTTCTTACTGCTTGCACGCCATGAATCATCTCCTGTATTTCAAGAACCACGGAATGAATAGTTTCATAACTTTCCATTCATGTGCACATTTGATACATGAGTCAGCACAGCGATGGCCTGAACCAATACCGAGTAGCTAAAACTAAAAAAAAAGGTTCCAAAAATTGTTTTGAACAGAGTGTATATCCTGTCGATACCACATTTAACATTCAGCCAAAGTATTGCCTTATTCAACTGAAAATGGAATGACGAGTTGGGAAAAACCTATTTGATATTGCAAGAATTGATGCGAATTTTTAAGTCTGAGTTCCTACTTAAAAAAAAAGTCAAACCATATTGTCGTTCCTGGGAGTCCTGGTATGCACTGCAAAGATATGTTTCACCAAGTTGTGTAACTTTCGAGGGTTATGCAAAGTAGCGGATGTCCACTCGCCCTTCCCTACATCCTACCATGAGAAAATCCTCCATTCTGCTTCTCCGCCCCCTTCATCTCTGCCAAGGTTCGTATTTCCGCTATAGAATCCATGGCGGAGTTTCGACGGAATTTCACGCTTTCACTTGGTAGCGCCCGGATTATATTCCATTATCGAATACCAAACAGATACACGCACAGGATGTTCCTCGAAAATCTCCCAGATAGATCTCTAACGAAATTAAAACGAACATTACTGAATTACTTGGCCTAGGAACATGAACAGTCTCCATTCTGAATCTTTTTGTCTGTCTTGAGATGAAATCTTTTTCATTAGTCCGCAGCAGATATTAACACAATTTCAATTAACTTATTTGACCTCTGTCAACATTCTGAAGGTCTTCATTTCAGGTCAGAGGGAGCAAGTCGAGGAAGCGTGGAATCAATATGAGGGGAACTCCACGTCTCTCATTGTTTGTATTGTTCCTACTGATCAAAATCGTGTCTGGAGAAGTGAGTCGTATTAGAATATTCCTGTATACGAGTTTTGATCATGAAAAGCTCATCGAAAGCAAGTAGGAGGTGCACGTCTGCAAACTTTTGAATATTCCTCATTTTCGTGAACTTCCAATTTCATGAACCAGGAATAACCGGCAAGCAAAAGACCAACGAAGTTCCTGCTCTCATGCGATTCGAAAATTCGATTGATGAAAGGATTCCGTCATGATCGTGGATCGGGCATAGTGAACGTTTTCAACGCGATATTTCCCTCATGTCCGGCGTCCTACCTTTCACAAAAATCCTTAGATGACACGTTCTCTCTCCCGTTTCTCACGAAACTCAAAAAAAATTTCCGACTACCAAGAAACCACCAATAGATACTAGATTGGAGAATTTCAGTTGTCAACTGTGGCATTGTCCAAGCAAGTTATGCTGCCACTCACTCGTCCCATCGTCGTTGAAAAAGTCCTCACAATTAGCAATGAATGGAATTCTACCGTTTTCTGTTTTCTTTCAGTACTCACGCACATCAAATTTCGGGTTACAAATAAACTATATAATATTTATTTACGTATGCACTGCCGGTAAATGAAACAGGAACACAGAATGAACGATGCTGCAGGCACCAAACATTCACCATTTGTTGGAGGAATTATTTGCTTATCTTATTAAGATAAACAAATAATGAATCAATCTCCGATATCAGGCATCCTGGTGGCGAGACACAATCATATCACGGCCATGTGATACGGAAAGTATAATACTCCTGGGAGCGCCGTGTGCCAGCTTGCGGTTGGGCAGAACATTAACTGCGGTGTGGTCACATGATTCTATAACGACGCTGAAATGCCGGGTATTGTAGAGTGATGGAACACCCCTCTAGCATGTGGATTTCTGCCGTTTTCCCTTATCGATATAGTTCCAAATCCAAGTGATGGTAGATTTGGTGGCTTGCAAAGTAGGCTTGGGAGAAATTTTCCGTTTTATTTCAACATACATGGAGATCATTTCTGCTCGTGTACTTCAGGTAAAATGAAAGAACAGTATTTTGCGTAATGATAATTATTTGATCTCTTTACGTTCATGAGGCATTTTTGATGGGTTTTAGCATGAAGCCATTTTTACTATTGCAATGCGACTGGTCTTTCTTTTATTTCCAAGGTACTTCCAAGCACGTCTATCCATGGACTGAATAATAATGGCTCCAACCTGGAAGATGTAGTGCTCTCTCTCAGGATAAAATTCCAAGAACATGCCAAGGAAATTGCACAAATGAAGGTTGACTATGGGCAGCTGTGGAATGACAAGGAAAGTCTCAGATACGACCAAAATAAATTGAAGTATGACAACGAGAACATGAGAAAAGATAACGAGAACCTGAGAAAGGATACCGAAAACTTGAGAAATGGTACCGAAAACATGAGAAAAGATTTGGAAAACCTGACAGAAAATCACGAAAACCTGAGAAAGGATTACGAAAACCTTAGAAATGATACCGAAAACCTTAGAAAATATACCGAAAAACTGAGTGAAGATAACGAAAACCTGAGAAAAGATTATGAAAACCTCAAGACCAGTCGACAGGAATCCATTTTTGAGAGAGACGAGCTGAAACATCAACTGAATACCATGGAAGGAAGACTCCAATATCAAGAGGCCATTAGTCTGCAAATAAGTGAGTTTGGAAATACATTTTGAAGGCATTCAGTCAGACGTATTCATCTGCGTGTTGGCGAGTGCACATCAAACGAAAGCGATCATTTTCGATCAAATGGCATAGATATCGCATTTTAGGTATCCGCAGCAAGCTGAATCACCGCCGTGAATGTCCGGTTTACTCTTCAACGACTGACGCCATGTGTTAATATATTACCCGCTCCGCAGTTTCAGACTCATCATCGAAACAATGTCTATCAGAATGCGTTCGAAGACGACAAATCGCGTTCGCTTGGAGTGCGAAGTCCCGAGGACCACGCCTGAATGCTTCAAGCCAACCCGTGCGATGTTCTCCATACCGAAGATACGAGGCTCCCTTGGAATCATCCTCCGCGGTTCTACGAGTTTCGCGGCTCCAAGCGTTCGCATATTCCAACCAGTGATATAGCCATACTGTGGATGCCCGAACGGAAATCTCTATGCCACCTCCTCCAAAAGAGTCATTTTCATGCGATAAGTCCTCGTCCTTCCAACCGAGAATCACAATTCATGATACTTGCGTTGCAGCTCCCCGAACGTGTCAGACGTTGGCAGACTTGGGAGTGACACGGACAGGAGAATACTTCGTGGATCCTGACGGAGTGTTGATCGGCGATACACCCATCAAAGTGCTCTGTGATATGCAGACAGGTCGGTGATGTAAACAACCCTTCGCTCATTCGAAACATTTTAATTATTTTGTTTCTTCTGGCGCATCCTTTCTCAACAATGCTACATCTAGATCCAGTATCCACGATTGTCCTCCATGATTCGATGGGAAACACTGCGATTGATCGATGTGCTCATCCTGGATGCTACAATCACAGCATAAAGTATGGTGCAACTATGAAACAAATGGTGGCGTTGATCAAGCAATCGAAGTCGTGCAAACAGCAAATCAGAGTGAGTTGATCCTGTCGTCTCGGGACTTTGTATTGTAATGTGCTTTTATCGTAAGCCAATGGGTTATCATCAACAAATTTTCAGGCATAAGTTATATACTTTCCTAACCTTTCAAAGAAAAGTAAACCCGAAGAAGTAAATTGGGGGGAAAACACTTATTTCCTGCCCAAAGAAAACAAGAGCAACGACCAGCCCGCATGCCTCGTCGCAGTTCACGTGTTAACCTGTTAAGTGCACAACCCTTCATTATCGGGGTCATAGTTGCTATTTACTTCCGTTCTTGTTAATTTCCTAGTTGATCCTCATTGATCAAGCCACCGGAAATACATCAGAGGGAAGGCTATCTATTCGATTTTATTCCGATTCTAACTAGCAGGGCATCGATAAATTCTCTGGACGAGTTTAGGCTGTTAGTTTCAAATATATATTTTCAAATACATGTAATGGAAAGAAGAAAGGCCTAGCTGCACTATTCGCAAGTAAACCTGCTGCAAACCGAAGGAAACGAAATGTTCTGTTTTCGTGGATATAGTCACAATGATTTTCAGAGACCACCACCCCAGTAGCACCCGAACGTGTTCAATCAAGGTTTCATTCAATTTATTGGCAACGTTCCATTAACGTCATCAGGAACGGTTCTATTGACTGCTTACATTTTTAAAATTCATAGCAATGAAAAGCAGTTCAAACTATGCCTCCTCTGAACGATGCGACTTGATATTTCCAAGGAAAGGGTTCAATGAAACTTATTTTTGATAAAATGTCCGTTTTGCAAGCGTTATTTTCAGTAAATAAATTGCATTCCGTCTAAGTAGAGCCCTGCTCCTTTGGCCGGGGTCAGAAGTCATAAACCGATTTGTCTGATTGAAGGTACAATCTTACATTGTCTGGGATAGTGTGGGGGAAATGCGAGGGGCAAATCAGTCTTACAACAGAATTTGTCTTCCTACAGTCGGTAATCTTATATTCAGGAGTCAGACATACGTCTCCAATGAAATCCCTTTTCATGAGAGAGATGAGGATAGACATCGATATCAATTCCCTTAAGTGACCTTTGAAATTGAACCATCATCCTGCTATCTGCTGAGCCTGAGTTCTCTGGAGACTCCTTGAACTTGGTTACCTCTAAACCCTTATCCAGGCAAGGTATTTTTGTGACACAAACGGGCAAGGCCAAACATTTTTAGAATTTTTTTCCTTAAAAGCAAATCCAAACTTTAAAACTTCGTTTCTGAATCTATGGATGACTCTCTTTGAAACCACATCATATATGAAGAATATTTTGAAAAATTTGCAGAGAGTAATGAAATGAAATATACCCTGGGGAGTCGAATGGACTCCCCTTGCCCGGATAAGGGTTAAGGCGGATTTTTTTTTCAAGAATTCTAGTAACTTATCTTGAGCTCAGGCCTATGTGAATCAGATCGCCGACATTGTGGAAAGTATTTAGGACTAATTCCAACTCCATTTGCACAAGAGCCCGTGCAAAAACCATGGAATAATTTCAAGGCAATTGTAACGCACGCGGTCGTCTGGCGTGGCCGGTAGTATTTACTCGTACTGGCTGTACTTAAATAGCTACCTGCAAACTACCTTGACCGTCGCGAAACAAGAAAAATATTAATAAAAAAAAGGATATTAGAAATTTGCCCCTTTGGGATGGTTCGTATTGGTCGGACGGAATCAGTAGCCGTGAGGCAAGGATTCCAACAGACTGGGATTTTCACAGATTTTCTTTATTCTAATCTACGGTTGACAGATTAGGTTCTGGTTCGGCAAGTTAGCAAAAGAATATACAGGGTTCCTCAGCACAGCTTCGCGAGCGAGCAGCTTTCGTTAGAGGGAAGTTAATGAACAGCAACAAAATTAACTTTCAAAGAACAACAGATTCAGCTCACCCCCTCGATGCAGCACTTTCGCGAAGACTCGTGATTGGCGGCAATCACGGCTAAATCAACGAAATCGGAATGGGTTGCTCGGGCTTCGACCCTCCACAAGCCACTCCAATCTCGTCCTTGCTATTTCTAAGTGTTCTCCCGGCTCCAACCGGCGGGAACAGAATCTGGCACCAACCAGATCCACCTAAGTCTGGCTCCGACCAGCACTTAGGCTCCTCGGCTCCAACCGAGTAGAAATAGCAA